GATAGTTTTTAAAATGTAAGCACTGAGCTGGCGGAATGTGGATTACATTTTTAAGCTGCTTTTGATAATTTAATTTGGGCGCTAAGAATGTTTTTTTTTAAATAACTCTACTTCAACATTTTTTAACTGATTAGTTCTCATATTCTTGTTCATAAATAAGTCATGGCTACGGGAATAAACAATTTGAGTCTTGGCTTGCTAATTGGACATCTAAAATGTACCGAACTTGATTAAATATTTTAACTAAACAACAAATGAAATCCATTTCATATTGAAACATTGAAGACACTGAAATAACAAGAATTTAAAGCTAAAGTGGAATATTTTAAATAAACTGAGAGCTACAAACCTAAAATTGTATTAAGTACAATATGATTTATAGCGACAAATTAATCTGATTCTATCATAGCATAATGTTATTAAAGCTCTTCTGTGTTTTGAAGCTCTTTAAACTAGTAAGTGGTTCCTTTAGCAGTCATCAATATAAGCGGAAAAATCAAGCTTAAGACTTATAAATAATTCTGTCCTAGAGGGTATTAGGGTTCATAAAAAAGACAATACAATTTTAATAAGCAAAGAGTCTATTTTTGATTTGTGTATTGCAGAAGATTTGCGCATAATGAAAATGTTTAAGTTAAAAATGGTTTCATTTAACTCAATTAAATCAAATATATTCCCTAAGACTCCGATAAAAGCTGTAGATAATTGTTATCTCATATATTAAGTTTAGCATATGACTTTAATAATTTAAATACGGGTAGGTTAAAAGATGGCACAGTTCCTCGACCAATCATTCACTCAAATGTTGTACATAAGTGCACAAAAATAGACTCTTCATTTCAGTATCTCTAAAACCTTTTACTAACAGTAAAATTTATTGAGCTTAATAGTTCAATATTTTGCTTTAAGCAACATAATCGTGTAGCTTGTTAAGCAGTTGTTTCTTTTTGGTTTTTTTTGCTGCCTTAGAGCATACAAAAACGTCATGCACACCCACAAAAGGGGCGATTACTTCCGCCATTTTCTATGATGAATTGCTACTTTAGCTTAACACACAGCTACGCACACAGAGATGCAGAGATGCGCAGACCTACACACACACACACACATGTATATATATACGGTGGCATATATACAAAAACCCATATAGATACACATTTATCCAGTTCTCGACGGCGTTGACAGCAGCAGCGCCGTCGTCAGCAGAAAAAGTGGCGCAACGTGAAGAAGGAGCGGAGGGGGAGTTGGGGTGGAGGGAAGATGGACGAGCATGTAAAGCAGGTGAACTCAGAGTTAGTTGGTGTTGTTGTTGTTGTTGGTTGTAGCAGCAAAAGCAACAGCAACAGCAATTGGTGGCAAAACACTGAAAGGACACAGGAAGTGCACTTTGCCAGCACAGGCGCTCATTCACACACACTTTAATGCGCGCCAGTGTGTGTGTGTATGAGCCATTGGGGTGCTTTTTTGCCGCTTATTTATGTCTGGCAATCATAAAGCGCGCCCCACTCACACACACATACACACACCACTCACCAACACAGACGCACCTATGGGGGAGAGTGCAGGTTATGACTTTCTATAACTCAGTCTCATTGCATGCCGTCCCGCTCTGCCTGCTGCCCGCTGCCCGCTGTCTGCTTGTCTTTCTGCTCTTCTTGCTCTTGCGGCTGTTTCTGATGTATTTTATACAAATTGCAAGCCTTAGTGCTTTTATTTTTTGGCGCTGCGTGGACGTCGAGCAGAATCATCCATCAATGGCAATGCACAGGACGAGGCCAGACCAGGCCAGGGCAGGCCAGGCGAGCTCTGACTGTGACTGTGGCTGTGGCTGACGTTTGTGTGTCGCAGACGTCGTCGAGGACAACACCCCCTGCAGGACAATGGGCGAGCATGCGGCGAAATTTGTAAATAAATTCGCTGCAGCAACAAAAGGAGGCTGCGCATTCGCCCCCCAACACACATGCACACACACACACACACACAACCACGCTCCCTCCACCTTTCTCACTCACTCTCTCTCGCGCGCTGTCTTCAACCACTCTACTCAACAGGCTTTGTTGCTCAGTCGCGTTTGTAAAATAATAGCATAAAATATTGTTGTCCTTGAACAATTTACTTTTATTTTATTTTTATTGCCTACATTGCGGCGCTGCTTGCTTTCATTTCTCTCTCTCTATGTGTGTGTGTGTGTGTGTGTGCGTTTGTCTGCTTCAGTATGCGTGTTTGTTTTCATTTTGGCTTGTATTTGTTTTTTTTTTTTTTGTTTCGGCGTCTGTATTGTATTGCTTTCGGCATTTTGAGCTTCATTAAATTTATGTTGCATTCCTCCTTTTTTCTGGTTGTTTGTGCAAAGTCATCGGCTTGCCGCAACAGTTTTTCGGGCCTAGTTGCACGTGCCACACCATCGTAAAACAGATCGTAAAAGTTTATTACTTTCGGCTGTTTCTGTTTGTTGTCGTAGTCAGCAGCATCGCCATTCCTGCTGCCCTCGCTGTCAGCTGTCAAATTGAATTTGTTTATATTGCTAACACACAGCCGGCATTGCCATTGTTGTTGTTGTTGTTGTGCTCTAACAGGTTTCATTTTCACTTCCCGGAAATCATTGCGTCATGCTGATATTTTGTATTTTAACGTCCCCCCACCCTACGCAACCCAATGACAGTGACAGTGGCGCTGGCAGCCGTTGAGTCTCCTCGCCGGCTGTCATCCTCAGTTCTGTGTTTAGGCTTCAAAGTCGATTTTGTTGGTTTAGGTCAGTTAGTTTTGGCTTTGACAGCTCAAAGTCGAGGTCAACTTTTGTATACATGCCACAGTTTATCAACGCCAATGTTTATGTGTGTGTGTGCGTGTCTCTGTCCGTCCGCCCGTCCGTCTGTCTGTCAATGTGAGTTTATATTTATGTTCATGTCGGCTGTTGTCGAGAGCCCGGCGAGACGCAACGCATCGCAACGCAACGCAACGCGACACGGCACGACGCGTCGTTGTCAGTAAAACATAAAAAATCGATTTTTATTAGGACCGCTTTATAGATTTTCTGTCAGCAGTGATATTTCCTTTTGTCTGCCGCTTCCTGGTAGTTGTTGGCTATGACGGGCTTAAATTTAGCAAACTTTAAGCCGCAATGTGCGTATGTGGTGGATGTGTCTGAAAATAAAAAACAAGCTGATCCCAATAAGAGTCAGAAATGTCTTTATTTATCTGCATTGATTAAGCACCCTATGTGGATTTTTAGCTCATAAAGTTCATAGCATTTATTCGTCTACATTGAAGAATTTTCTACCCGTTCAAAGGTTAGGCACAAAATTTGAGTCGCCTTATATTAAATCAATTGGTAGCTATCAATGGCTTGGCGTTTGAAATTTGGTCTCTGAAGGCAGTCAAGAGAGATACTTTTTAGCGGAGGGAGACAAAGATAGTATAAAAATGTATCCTTAAGATAAATAATTAAATTACATTTTAGGTTTATGCGTCTTGTTGTGAGCAAATAGAGGCTTGTTTATCAAAAACATTAAAGCTTCGCTAGAAAATCTTGGAATATCAGCGTTGCTTGTGATATGAGAACGCCGATCTGGTTGAAGACTTTGCAACGCCATTCATGTACATAAGTATTTGGCAATTGCTTACTAAACGCGTTTTTGTACAGGAAAAAATATTGCTGATATAACATTTGAGTTTCGATTTGTGAGGAAATATGTTGAATCCTTCAATAAATGACATTAGCTGCCATTAAAATTTCATAGGGAATACATCAATAAATAATTTTGTATATTTCAAGGTATGTTTATCTGAATGTGTTTGAAATGTGCCGTAATTTCTCTCTTAAAAGTCATTTTCTTTAGAAAAATGGGAGCTTTTAATATGCTAGAAACAATTTTTCTGTGTAGGAAATATGTTAGCTATTACATACCTTTTCCATCTAATCTTAAAGAGTGGAGTCTTTGTAGTTTTCTGTTGGTGGTACTATTGTCAAGTAGACACCAAGTTTATGATGAATGTTATTATGGTATTGTATCGTATTATGGATAAACGGATGAGCTTGGAGACTATACTCAGTGCTTTATTTTGAAATCTTTGCGAAACTGAAATGTTGTATACCTTGGCCGTACCTCAGAGGTGAATGTCATATGTCCAGACTGGTTTAAAAGTAAACAAATTATTGTATTACCTCCCTTCGTTAGCTCTGTTGTATTTTTTAATTTTTTTTCCAACAAATGAATTTCCAAATAGGATAACTTGTAAGAATATTATGGACGATATCATACTGTGCTTCGCAATATAAAAGTGACAAACTTTCAAACTGGTTTACTGTAAATACTACAAGTTATTTATAAAATGATTATCTTCCAGCTTTTACCAATTTAATTTCTTTCTAAATATTGTCTATGTCGTTAAGCAATCACGGCTCTGGCAATTCCTTAGGCAATTCTCTTCTTAAGGTAGACAGTCGAAGAATATCAAGAGAGCAGAAATGACACAAATATTATTCAACGCTGAGTGAGTCAAAGCTTGTTCGTCCAATTTTGGAGATTATAGATTAGACTTGAAGAATTGAGAATTAGTAGCCAACATGCTGTGTAGGCAACTAAACGGACAAAGTCTACGTTATTCCTTCCCAAACGAATACTTAATTCAAATAGAATATTAACATTTTATTGCCCATTTCAAATTAAAATACAATTTACATTTAATCTTAGCACATACATATAGAAAGTATTATCTTAGCGATTTTATATCGGTGGACTATTAACCTCTACAAATCAGAAGCGAAAGCTTGCTTCTCAAAGTTTTCAAAATGTTTACCAATTATTAAATTCTCTCAACAATTAATTTACGGAGATAGTTTGTTATGAATGGGAAAGCAAAGCAGAAATGAAAAAATACATTCCGAATTAATCAAAAGACCGCTCACAGAGCGGGTAAAAGCTTAGAAAAGCTTTCGCATGACGCTGATAGAATGAATAAATTTAATAGAATGTAGAAATTGATAATTAGTAGCCAACATGTTGTGTAGGCAGTTATACGTGCAGAGGCGGTTCTGCGCTCGGTTGAGTGTGCGAGCAGTCAATACAAAGGTAAGCTCATATTGTTGCCAATATTTCAATATTTCCAGTGAATTGTTGGGATTTTAGGCTGGTCAGGTTTTGGAGCCCGTGCCTTCCGTGGCATTGGAGCAGGCCAAGCCTTTTGCAGAGTTGCCGGGACCCAGCAAATTGGAAATGATCAGAGCTTTTTTGCCAGGCGGTGAGTACTAGTCGAGAGCTTTTCCAGAGGCACACGCCTAATGCTCTCTGCTGCTCTCTCTCTCTCTCTCAATGGCTATAAAATGATAACGTACCATACTGTGGGAACACCATTGCAGGTCGATATCGCGGCAAACCAGTATTTGAAATGTTTATGGACTTGGCTCGCCGTCATGGTGAAATCTTTCGTCTGCCTTCCATTGCATCCAATGAAGTGGTTCTTACCATGAATCCCAAGGACTACGAGATAATTTTCCGTAATGAAGGACAATGGCCATATAGGCGTAGTTTCGAAACCTTCACCTATTACAAGACTGTGCACAGACGTGATGTGTTTGGTGCAGATGACGGCTTAGTTTCCGGGTAATTGGTTCTATTTCTTAGACTCCTTCACTATACGATTCTACATATTTTTGAATAGTAATGGACCAGAGTGGGGCAAAATGCGCACGGCCGTGAATCCGATTTTGTTGCAGCCTCGCAATGCCAGATTATACATTAAAAATCTGTTGCAAGTGAACAATGAATTTCTGCAGAGGTAGGTTGCGAAATGGAATACAAACAAAGCTTTTTGTAGACATGGTTGCTCTTTTCAGAATACGCAATATTCGTGATCCGAATACTTTGGAGATGCCCGACGATTTTGCCGAGGATATCCGACGCTTGGTATTGGAATCTATAGGTTCGGTCGCGCTGAACACGCATTTAGGACTTTTGGGAGCACAACGGGAAAGCGAGGAGGCTAAGCAGATGATCAAGGCATTGGAAAATATTATTGAAATTGGTTTTGAGTTAGATATGCTGCCAGCAATTTGGAAATATGTGCCTATTCCAAAGTTTAAGCTAATGATGCGATCCCTAGACACCATTACCGATATTTGCATTAAGAATATTGAGGAAGCTATTAATCGCATCGAATCAACTGCTAAAGATAGTCAAGTCACTAATGACGCAGATTTGGAGAAGAGTTTGTTGGAGAAACTATTACGACACGATCGTAGAACAGCCATCATTGTAGCGATGGATCTACTGTTTGCTGGCACAGATCCGGTGAGTTAGAAAACTTCCGAATTCGGCATTGTGTAACCGAATATCCAGTATTTGAATGTTTTTCTTAATTTTGTTACAGACGGTTGTCTCGCTCAGCGGTATTTTGTTATTGCTGGCCAAGAATCCGAGTAAGCAGGCGCGTCTCCTGGAAGAGTTGCAGAACGTGTTGCCCTCAAAGGACGCTCCACTAACCATGGACAACATGCAGAACTTGCCTTATTTGCGCGCTTGCATCAAAGAAGGCATACGTCTCTATCCAGTTGGACCAGGCACATTGCGCCGCATGCCACACGATGTGGTTCTGAGTGGATATCGTGTTGTGGCCGGCACAGATGTCGGCATAGCGGCCAACATCCAGGTGGCAAATTCCGAAGAGTTTGTCCCGCGGGTTCGCGAATTTCTCCCAGAGCGTTGGTTGCGCAACGAAAGCGCCAATCTAGTTGGCGATATTGCATCGCCATTCATGTATCTGCCATTTGGATTCGGACCGCGTTCATGTGCAGGAAAACGTATTGTGGATATGATATTGGAGATCGCCGTGGCGCGTCTGGTGCGTAACTTTGACATCGGCTTTAATTATCCCATTGAGAACGCGTTCAAGGCTCAATTCTTTGTCAAGCCAAATATACCATTTAATTTCAAATTTGTGGAGCGGGAGAAGTAAGCACACATTTTCACAATAATAATAAATGAACACGACAAGAATAAATGCAGTTTTACTCCTAAATATAAGTCATGTTTTTAAAAGTGTGTTGTGTGTATTCACAGCTAATATTAGCCTAAAATTGATTTGATATTTAATTTCGAATGTGATTTTATGGGGAACCAGTCGAAACAGCACAAAATTTGGACTACAGTGCACGCTATTCTGAAGAAGTATATCGATTTCTATGAGAAATATTTTTCATTGCAACACTACTTGAGCCATCATGATGATTTGTCAAATAGCATCTTTGCAGTACTTGACTTGCTGGAGAAAAGACTGGCTTGCTGCTCGCACGCCCCTCAAGATTTGAGTGCACGTATGCTGTCATTGCTGTTATTGTTGTAGCTGAGCTCAATGGCCACTCCAGACCACATTACACCACATCAAAGTTAGCAGTAAAAGCGCCACTTGAAAGACAATTTTTGTCGATTTTCCTTGGCTACCCCAAAATTACGACAGAGCCGTTGTTGAAGTGAAGAGTACTTGGAACAACACTTTGGCTGTGGCATGGCTCTGACATGGCCTCAAACCGATTTTATGGTCTGTCTTTAACGCAAAAAACATAACTTTGAGCAGTTTTCAGTTTTTTATATACAAGTTGCATTCTTCTGGGCACTTTTATATAACAGAATAGGTTCGAAATTAAAAATACTTACTACGAAACGAATTTTATGTAGAACTGAGAATATTGACTAAAAACTGAATTTTTTATATGGATGGAAATATAAAAGCAGATTGATTCAAATTTATTATAGTTTTATTCTTCTGGGGACTTTATTTAACATAATAGTTTTGAAATTAAAAATACTTACTACAAAACGAATTTTATGTAGAACTGAGAATATTGACTAAAAACTAAATTTTTTATATGGATGGAAAAATAAAAGCCAATTGATTCAAATTTATTATACATTATAACTTGTAATTAACAGAATAGGTTTTAAAATAAAAATACCTACTACGAAACAATTTTTAAGTAGAACTGTGAGTATTGACTAAAAACTAAATTTTTTATATGGATGGAAATATAAAAGCAGATTGATTCAAATTTACAAGTATTACATATAAGCAGCAAGCGAGCCATTGAGAAAAAGCGAACTTCAAAAATATAGTAAATATATAGTAAACAATAACAATTATATTTGTTTTTTAAAATTACCAATAAATTTTTTTTTATCCGTAATAGCATACAATTCTTATGTAAAGTCTTGAAGGCTACTCGTTTGGCTTAATATTGTAGCTTAAATGGATTTTGATTGATTCATTTTTAATCTCTTCCCAAGCAGCTGTTGTTCTTTTTACTGCACACAGACACGCATAGGCTCGTTTACTTGTATTCGAGTAGATCGGCGCCCGTTTTCAAATTTTTATTCTCAGCCCAGAACTATGCTGCGTACTTTCTAGAAAATTTAAGATAGCGCCATCTATGCTTGAATACTCTGCTGGCAACACAGCCATTTCTAAAGTTTGCCTCATTTTGAGCCGTTGTTGTTCCGTCCTTCTACTATTGCTTCGTCTATTTTGTTATCAGACAACAAATAAGTGCACTGGCATACATAAATAATTCACAAGCATTCATTTTGACATTGAGCATAGACAAAGTTGCATTGCATTTCCATTCTTTTTGTTGCCCACCTCCCTTCTCTTGGCAAGTCGGTCGAGTGTTTATTTGGTACATTTCCTTTCCTTTATTTTTCCATTGCCTCACTTGGACAGAAGTCGTCTTATCTGTGCTCGCTGCTGCCGTGGTGGCTCGTATGTCCTGCACTTTATGCTACTTTAGTTGGACTTGGATGGTGCCTGCCTGACTGCCTGTCTGCCTTCTTGCCCCTTTGGATGCCGCCATGCTATCGTCTTGTGCATTATTAAAACTCTTCTGATGGCACTTCCGTGCCTTGGCCCCTTTGCCACTTGTTTCATTTGCTGTATTTGCTTCACTAGACGGTAGGAGCAGGAGCAGCAACAGGAGCAGCTTTTGAACAGCAGGGGCCAGAGCACTTGAAATGTCAATGCTGCAGCCTGCAGTGCATAAAGTTTTATCGTGGACGGGGCGCAGGACGATTCTGTCACGTTTCTTTAAATTGGCAAAGCGGCGCAGCGAGTGGTGAAAGGGTGTGGTGTCGGGTGTTTCAACTTTGCTAACGAAATGCATTGCATAAGTGAACACGATTGCGATAGTGCAGACAAACAAAATAAATGGAATTCATTATTGCATTGGAAGAGGCGCAGTGAGACGCCTTGCACTCAGTCAGGACTCGTCTGATTTCATTTTCGCAATTTTTTATTCGTGCCATTGCATAGCCAGCCCCTAAGTTTTAAAGTCCTGCCAGCTGTTATCTACGAGTTGCAAAACCCAAATTGAAAATTCATGTCAAATGGCGCACAAATCAATGTCTTCTCTACAAATTCCCAATTTTGTTGTTGCTACTGCTACTGCTGCTGCTGTTACTGTTACTGTTGCTGTTGGTGCACGCTAGTTGCATGTTTTGCAAAAGGCATTGCATGCTTTTGGGGGCGGCTCATGCACTTTATGACACGCATGCCATAAAGTGAACAATTAGACATATGACACATGCACGCATACACCTACACAACCACCCTACACTGACAGCTAAAAGTGTGTTAATAAGCTTAAGTGCAGTGCTTTGGCTGACATGTTATGGAAGTCCTATATACTATAGTCCTAATAGTATTACTGGCAATCGATTTTAAGATTCTAAAGATTATTAGTTGGTTAGTTTCCAGTGTACTTACATACTTGTACATCAGTAAAGTAGGTACATATATAAATACTTATATTTATTTATTTTCCTAATTTTCTGTACTGTACGTATTCAGGTGTTGAGTTTTAACAGAATTTTAACCCATAAGCTTACACATTACAGCATTGCAACGCAGCGGCTATAAAAATAAACTTAAATAGTTGCCTTGAAAATATCAACAATTTATCGACAAATACGTTGTTCTGCAAAAACTACTGCGGTGCTTACAAAATCTTCCAAGCAACCCGTGCTCAACATCCTCGATAGTATAGTGGTTAGTATCCCCGCCTGTCACGCGGGAGACCGGGGTTCAATTCCCCGTCGGGGAGATAAGCGACAATTTTCTTTTTTTTTTTTAGGTTCTGTTTTTATTTTATAATATTTTTTATTTTTATATAATTTAGTTATTTATTAGATAATGGTACTGTGTGCAATTAAACTGCTGCAATGCTTGTTTGAAAAATTTTTAGTAGACCTTTTAAAATTGAGCTTGCAATTTAGTTTGCAATTTAGTTTGCAATACTTCCAGTTTGTTCTCCATTTTGGCAGAGAAATTTAAATGAGATACATAAAGATTACATTTGCAAGTCTATAGGTTTGTAGAATTATTCTTCTGCTATTTACGAGTACGTGATGTGTAAACACAAGTGTTTTTATAGTCTACATTTATTTTATGATTTCTGCGTTGAGGTGGTTCTATAAATAGAACGTAATTTTTGTCAAGCGCAAAAATTTCTAGAAAATAAATAAGGTATTTTATATGTATGTATTAACATTAACATATAAGCATTTGAATTCTTTTTTATATTTTGAAATATTTGTGGAGTGTTTTTCCATACATTTTAACTATTTTATTATCAAGGTCTAATTTGGTGGAACAAGATTTTTTCTTGTGGTATGAGGATGAATTTCAAGATCTTGTCTCTATGCTCTTTTGCTGTATTTATTTTATTAATAAAAGATAACTAAACATAAAATTAAGGCAATATAATGTTTTTCCTCATCATTAGTATTATTATAGGGCGAGGTATTAGCAGACAAGGGTTTAATTAAATGAAATAGTTTGATAGTGAGTATGATGTGGCTCTGGAGTTTCTTCAATGTTAGGAGCTATACATTTTATTAGAAAATTGATCAGGAAGAATTTCGTTATGTTTGTGTGGGGCAGCTTACTTTTGGTGACTAGTGTACATTCGCAGAGCATCTTACGTGCTGCAATTTGAAATTTGAATTTGGCTTTTGCATTGAACTTTGACTTGGCATCAACATGAGTCGACATCACACTAACGAACGAGAGTCTGTGCCTGTGCCTGGGCCTGGGTCTGGGTTTGGGTCTGGTACTGCACCGCTGCCCATTCCTCTGGTTAAGCACGCCTTTGACATGACAACATGGCGTCCACTGCTGCCTGACATTGTGGGTGTGTGCGTGTGTGTGAGTGTGTGCGTGTGTGTGCCAATTTGCAACAGCACGGGCGTGGCAAACGGACCACGTCTAATGACAGTATACGCAACCTGCTGCCGTCTACGCCTTCGCCTCGACATGTACAATGGCAAGAACAACAACAATGACATCGACATAGCCAACGGCCTCGACCAGCTCCAAGTGTCATGTGTCACGTTTGCGAGACGCTACACCACACTAACACACTCGCAAACTCACCCACTCGCACACACACACACACACAATAATACACAGTGCTCTGCACTTAGTTGGTTGTCAATTTCGCAGCTGGGCGTGGCCGTCGCTCAATAGGCATGACTTGGGCATTAGTATGTAAAAGGGCAAGCTTTAAAAGAATTGCAGCAGAGCTACCCCCGCCCCGTCCCGCCCGGCAGCCTTAGCACGCCTTGACAGGCGCCCATGATTAATGGTTGTCAATGCTAAGCGGTAAAATAACAACAACAAAAACAACAACAAGAAAAAAAGAAATACTTAGAAGGAAAACTGGCAACGTTATTATTGCTACTGCTCTCGCTTTTCATCATGCAGCCCGAAACGCGCTGAAAGTAATTTTGTTATTTTAAGCAAGTTCCAGTTCTCCCTTCCTGGGCCCAACTGATGAAATTACGCTATGGGTTTTGCATTTGGCGGAAATTGATTCGGCGGCACGCACTTTTTTTCCAGCCCGTTTCCGTAGGAATTCCCCAACAGTCGTGCAATTTTGCAACCTTTTGCACCCCAGGATACTGAAGCGGGCCGTCTCGGATAGATTACGCGGGAAATACAAACACAACAC